CTTTCTATACAGCCACAATTAACACAAATGACAGTATTAGACAGCGGGGCAGAACATGGAGCGAGGAATGGGAAGGAGAGATAGTTGAGTTTCACCATCTGCATGGTTAAGGGGTGTTCCAGATCCTGGCTGGATATAGAAAACCTACATCAGATAGGCAACAAACCATTTAATATTCAGTAAATAGTAACTAGTTGTGTCAATTAACCAAATAATTAACAAAATAAGCAAATAAAACAGTTGGTGCCAAGTACAGGACAAAATCTACAAAGTTCTACCTGAGAAGTTTAGGTTGCCCCATGTCAGCCGATCTATGGCTTCCATTTGTAAATATATCTCAAGCACCATTTATCTGTTCCCTGCAAGATAAATGGATCCAGGCACTCCCTTACCCTACTCCCTCAGACACTGAAACCCACCACTTAATCATCCAGTAAGGCCTTCCAACCATGATTAGCTGTTTCTTTGCAAATGCCTGTGTTTCTGAAGGTAGGCTGCATAAAGCTACTTACCTCCTGATGCTGTTTTGCTGTGTAAAGACCTAACCACAAGGGGATTCTCAAATACGTCTGTCCCGGTTATCTCATCCAATCTGAAGCACATCTACAGGATCTGGCCCCACAGAGTAAACAGGCATGGACAAGACTTCTGAAGGCATATATGATTACACTCAAAATCCCAGAAGCCAAAGCACTTGGCTGCAGTAGCAGGGTCTGTTTCCTTTTCATTAATGCTCAAGATGTACCTTTTTACATTAATCCAGATTTTAAAAAATAGCTGCACGAGTAACCTTCTGAATCTGTTACAGTGAAAAATAATTTAGTGGCTTCAGTAGGACCACTCATAATAGCAGCTGAGAGAGCAAATCGGGAGTGCAATCTGGGGTATAATAAAAACTGCATGTTGCAATCAAATACATCAAGTAAGTGCAATACAGATATTCAGGTTCAGACGTTACTGCTGCTCCAGAAGAGTAAGTCATGATATCCGTTCCTTCTTTTCAGGTGTAATCCTTGGATTTTCTCTCCGATCATACAAGATGAGCTATCGGGAAGTCAAGTACTTTTCCTTTCCAGGAGAACTACTCATGAGAATGCTGCAAATGCTGGTCCTGCCACTGATTGTATCCAGTTTAGTCACAGGTAAAAAAAAGGAACAGTTATTTTATCCTTTTAAATAATTTGATAAAGATGCACACACCAAATCATAAAAAATGAATGTTCCACGTCCTAGAGATACTGATTGACACAGAACCTGCAGAAAGTGATACCTTTGCTATTGCTGTTTTAGAGAAATGTAACAAAAGGTTTAAATTAATATACAAAGAAACTAAAAGATGTTTTTCCCAATTCCAAGACAATCTAACCATACAAGTTACTATATGTAGCTGCTGTGAACTGACTCTGTACTCCACTTTCTTCTCTCACTTTCTGAATAGATATTTCCTCCACAATATCCTATTGTTATCAAAGATAATGTATCTCAGAAGAATAGTTCCAAGACTCAAGAAAGTTTAAACTATTGACCGTGGGCAATAACTCATACCTGTAAACCCAGATCTGTAAAACACCTGCCGATCTCCTAATCTTTTAGTGAGAGTTAATTAACACCTAAAAAATAGGTAATAGGTGGGATAGATTGGATACTTTGGAACAAACTTCATTTTTTTCCTTCAGCTAGAGTTATGATGATACATGCCTTGTCATTCCACCTAAGTTTCATGGAAGAGCTCTCAGATTTTTTATGAATGTTCGGGATGTACCTGTGATATATTTACCCTAGTAATTGTCCAAAGAAAAGAAATCATGGACTTCGGTCTATCAGCAAAGCAACTTGGAGAACTTATTCAAAACCATCCTAGGGTTTAAACTAGGGTCTAAACACCTAATACTCTACCTTAGAGGATCCAGAGACTGTAAGCTGTTTTCTATTTAATTGATTTTCAAATATATTAAGATCTCCTCTCACAAATGCAGATAAGCATAGATCCCATCTTCACAGATACCAAAGATAGTATGTATGTATGTAAGCTATTAAAATCAGAAAGCTAGGGTATTCACAGTTACAAAACCATTTGCCTTCGCATCTTTCATGGAAAAAGTAAAGCTTGTTTCTATACACACATATTATATGGATACTGAAAGCTTAATGCACACTGAAACCAGAGAGAAATTTATAAATCTTGTAGAAACAATGATAGGTTTTATTCCCAACCAGCATATCATCCTGTTACATGCCATATCTACTTGGTGTCTTCTTGTCCCTTTCATCTGCAGAACTCCCCAGGTTGGCTGGACACTGATAGAAGAACCATTAAAAGTAAAAAAGGAGAGACATTTACCCATCTTCAGTGTCAGCTGAGCCTGGCACTGCTGCTCCATTTTGTAGGATGAGTTATGGCAGGAGAAATTACCTGCTCAGTTCCTTATAACTGCATCCATATTGGTTCTCTGAGAGAGCTCAAGGTAAAACAGGAAATTAGGTAGATCATTCTATACAAGAATTTGAATTCACTTTCAAAATTCTAAGCAGAAACAGTTTGTTCAGGTGAAGATCAACAAATCCACCTCAGAGAGTCAAAAATGTTGGAAGGAGCTGGCCTTGTGTTGGAACAGGCTCATTTGCAGGATCACCAGGTCTCAGCAGAGACTCTGAAATACCAGAACAATGAGTTTCCAACCTCTTCTATTCTGAAAAGAATCTTCCATCTCTGGATTCAAACAATATCATTCTTTTTGATAGCTTTTTTTTTTTTTCCCCCCTTTGGAGCCCTGTATCCTGTTTTATGCCCCTTTTATTTATAACAATCATTTCCTTTATTGTACATAGGCTTTCAGCAAAGAGAAATCTTATCTATCTACAAGATTTGTCACATTATCATGTAAGTGCCTTGCAACATTAAGTGGATTATTCTTCGAGCTTCCTTTTGAGACAGAGACAGTAACTTTCAAAGTGAATAGTAACATTTTAAATTTTGTTATTCGGGCAGGGAACAATCAGAGAACACTCTATGCAATTCAAAAATGAGAGATTTCATTCTTTCTTAAAAATCATTAAATACAGCAGGACTATGTCTTTTTTCATGGGATTAAAATACGTTTCCCAGTTTATTGCTAAAAACTGTGGGAAAAACTGTTTCCATACTGAGCAATACCTCATTTGGCATACAAATTGGGGTTTTTTTAGAAAAAGGTGCTCTTACATATTTGCTGCAGAACTCTCATACCCAAGTAAATATACAGGTATTATTGAATATCTAAATAATAATGAACCGTAACCTTTACAGGTGTACTACTGTGCAATTTTATAGATGCTATTGGTTTCTTTTTTTTACACATTAGAGGATAATTAAATGGAAAAAATTCTTATGCTTCTCAAGTCAGTCTTAAGACCACTCCTGGCATCCATGAGCCAAATCTCTTATTTCCTGTATTTTGTTTGGTAAAGCAAAGTGAATGCCTATTAACTAATATCAAAAAGATTCCTTCAGGGTGTTGTATGCTGATAATATAATTGCTTCTTCTGATTGTAAATGATGTGAATAAATATTTTTGCTGTTTGCAGGCATGACAGTGTCTCCCAGATATGATGTTTTGGGGTTCCATTTGTATTTAAGTCTGCTCAATATAACTGGTTATGACAATATCAGAACGTATGGTCTCTGAGGTATTAGAAATAGGCTGGGGATGATTACATTTCTTCACAAGTGTTGTGAATGTCAAAGAAATTAGAACAATAAACAAAATAAATAGTTATAGAAGCTATAAGCTGTTACAAAAGTGAAAGACAAATTGAGAAACTGAGGACTTCTGCCATACAGGTAAACAGTTCTGATGGTTATTCACAGTCTCTTGGAAAAATAAACTATAAAAGGTGAAGTTAGCCCAGTCACTTTTCTCCATAGCCTGTTTTGGTACTTTCATGAAAGAAACAATGCAGAATCACATTCAGAGGTTTTTACTCATGTTTGCCTTATGACTTACCATTATTGCACGTGGCTCAAGCAGGTATAAAGTTTTCTCCATGAGATTCTATCTTCTGATGTGTACTTTGCCAGGCATGTGCTAACAACTGCTTGGGAGAAAATACAGGTTATTTGCATACCTTTCGCCATCTTTTACTCTTTATAGGAAAATATGATTATACAAATACCTGTATTCTTCATCTTTTATGGTTTAGATACAAATCCAACTGCATAATCTATGCTGGTCTTTATTCCCTAGCGTCTTTCGCATGGGAGCACTCCTAAGTCAGCATTCCCAATCAGTATCTCTTACAAAGTCAAAGGCAAAATTCAAGTATAGTATATGGGAGGTTGCATAACTAACCAAAGAAATAGGTGAAATTCCCATTTGGATTACTTTATGGCCAAATCTGGCCTGAATTCTTATACAAACACAGGGCTGACGTGTTTGCTCCATTTCTGTTTTGCTGCACTTATAGGAGTTCAAAATATTTCATACCTTCTTATTCATTTTAACTTGAAGCATTAGACATAAACAAATTGCTTGACGTAATTATTTTAAAATATGCATTGTCCCTAAAAGGCATGTGAGATAAATAAACATACATATGGTAACAATTCAACTCATCATGAAATTGTCAGGCTGCAAGATTTAAGCATTAAGAGCACTGTGCATTAACATTTTTTGAGCTGTTACAGCAAGATCATAATGAGGTTGAAATTCCAGCCTTAAAACCAGCCCACAGATTTTATCTGTGTTTCAGTTATTCACTAAACGTAAGGGCATCAGAATGAGGCACCTTTTATTAACCAAACTATATATTTCCTGAAATCACATTCACAAAAATGATTCGTGCCCATGCTTTATAAAAAGTGTAGTTAGAGCATAATATTTGTGACAAATATTAAAGTTAGAGAAATTTTATAAGGCTTATTTGCAAATATTTTGCACAATTCTGGTCATAGCTCAGTTTAATAGGCAGGTTGCTTGCCCTTTCCCAAAATTTTGGAATTTAGTTGTACAGGGACCACTACTTTTAAATGGAAGCAAACTAGGATTAAATTCTGTGCATGTCTTTCAAATATCTTTTTCTAGTAAAGTATAGCAAATCATAAAAAGCCCAGTCAAGATCTGAGCCTAATTTTTGCTGCACATTGCAGAAATAGTAAGATAACAGTTTATTTAATAACATAAATCAAGCTGGGGAAAGAGAAAGGGAATGTAAAGACAGTGAAAGAGCGAGGTCGACTGGCTTGCCAAAGATTATACAGCAGGTCAGCAATAATAGAATCAAGCAAAGATGCCAATCATGAATACCAGTACAACGTACTGTGCATTAAATTAAATGATAAAGCTTGTCCAAACTATTAATGGGAGTAACTCTAATATGGTAGAAATTCATCTTATTTACAGACCAGGATTTTGTCTGCAAGATTCTGTACAAACACAAAGAAAAAGACTGTGAATCTTCTTACACAAAAAAAGGCTGTATAATAAAACAGTTTAGAAGACTGAGTATGGAAGGTTTACCTCAAAGAAGAAAAACGTCTTAGTACGTAGTTTGTAGTACGTCTTTGTTTATATTCACTCTCCTTCCTAATTTTTATAATGACATGATGGTCTTTCATGGATTCTGGAAGACAAAAAACTTCCCTGCCTTTGATGCAGCCTTTCAATAACCGACTACAACATTGGCAACTGCAGGAGACACAAGTGACTCTCCTTTGGGCAGACTGAGCGACACAAGGTTTTGTCCCCAGACTTTTTCAACATGTTCATAGTATTTACCACGATAAAAGCTACAGAAAGTGTGGACAACTGCAGAAAGCTGGAATTTCCATGTGTGGATGCCTCTTAACTAACCTCAGATGTACATATGATGCTTTTAATTTCAGCTGTCAATGGAGCGCAATAAATGGTAACAATGTGAAAAAGAAGTAGTAAGGAACACAGTCTATCTCCTCACTGAGATAAAAACAGAGGCACACGAAGTGACTCAAGTAATAAACCAAAACACAAGTAGAGATCACAAATAACAGACAAGTTGCAGACACAGTTGTGTGAAACTACCTATAATAAAACAAGAATAGTATTCAAAGAAATAACTGAACTTGAAATAGTCTCCAAGCCACTCCCTTACGTAAGTCAGGAAATATGCAGCATCTGGATGTGAACAG